TCACTCATTCACCTTCTCCCTTGAACCTCCCTAGAATTCTCTGTATGTCTCTTACGGGTGTTATCACATAGTGCCTTGTATTTTGCTATTAGTATACATGTACATTTCCCCTGTTACACTGAAATCTCTTTGTAAGTGGGGAACAGATCTTATTTAGCTTCTTGTCTGACTCATTGATTCATGTAGAACCTTGCATACAGGGCCTAGTACAGAGCACTGAACATCTTGTAATGATTAGATGTTCAACACATAATTAGTTGAATGACTAACTGAATAAATAAATTTTATTCTGTCATTTGTTCTTTAATTAATTCATTCATCTTTTGAAGTAACATCCTGAAAGTAGGTTCAGCTCACATACAGAATATCCCATAGTGTTCTTTGTATGGACCATTGCTCTCACCCAGAGTATTTCTTAGCTTTTTTTTATATTAAAGGGTGAAATGAAAGGTTAAGAGTTAGAAGTGCATTTGGTCCTTTCCTGACCCTCTCCTGACTTTTGTGTGACTTCAAGCATGTCACTTGAACCTCTCAGTGACCTCAGCTGTGAAACGGGGCTGCCTGGTGTCACAAAGGGATTGCGAAGAGCAGCAAATCACAGTCCTTGTCTAAACAGAATCACCTGCAGGGCTCCGATGCCTGCATAGAATGATGAGGGAAATTTAATTTTCCAAGTCAAATGGTCATTTGGACCCATAGTTTGAATGTCTGTGGGAGCAATTAGATGAGAGTCCTTGGAAATCTGTTACTTTTCTCTTCCTACTCAAAATATTTCTAATTTTTGTACTTGTAAATGTTCTTATTTTCTAGACTTTTTTGTCTAAAGAATATTGCAGTGTCTAAGCGTATTAGTGTTTACCTCTTTAGACTTCAAAGGCGGGAAAATATTTCAGATATTATAAAAAGTTGAATTTTGGGAAGAATAGAAGTATCTTGAATTTTTATTTTATATCACTGAGTTTAGAAAAAAATTTGCCTCAAAATGATACTAATGCTAGTTCAAAGATAACTATTCGATGACTGTATATGAATATGTGTTTCTAACTAGCTTTTGGTGGGCGGCGGGGGAGGAATGTAGTTAAGCAAGACGATTGCAAACAAGTAGAGCAGAAAACAAATAAAAATACTGTTAGCCATCTTGCAAACAGAACCTTTTTATACCGTTAATGTAGTCTATAAAATCTTTGAAAGAGTAGAGCTGAATAGATTCCCCAGTACTGTAAATATTCTAATTGGGAAAAATCCATCTTCCAGGAAATTTAGCCTTGTATGTAGCATGTGCTGATTATCATTCTTTGACTGCTTTGGGTTTCTGCTGCTTTTAAACTAGCATTTAAATGGACCATTTGATTAATCATTTGTATACTGACTGTAATCCTCCCAAATTTCCTTTCTGAGTTGTACATACTGTAAAAGACAGTTATGTCGCCACAGATTAAATAAGCGAATTAAAACAGAATAGCGGCTTAATTTGACCTGTGATTTTGCTCTCCTTCCCTTTAGTGGAGCGTGTGCCACTCCAGCAAATAAATGAAGTCATCCATGACAGCTTGTGATGAATTGCCGTATTTATACTGTATATTTTAATAGCCTCACACTAATTTAAATTGAGCACAGAGTAAATTATAATTCAGTCACTTGACTGCTTATATTTAACTTGACAACTCATCCTTATTTGTCCTGGAGGTGTAGTGGAGAGCAGCGGAAATGCACTCAGGTATTTCAGCTTCTCACTTAACCCTTTCTCCAGGAAATGCTTCATGTTCAAATTCTTTCCAGTTTGAAAAATTTAGCTCTTCCTAAGGAGAAAAAAAAACAATCATGAAGACTTAAGGAGTTCATGCTTTCCTTGTTCTTCAGAAAAAAATATTAGTATTCGCCATGCTTTTTTCCCAATTTTTCCATTTTAGGGTAGATTTTACTTGCCCTCTCAAGTTCCCAGAAATTACATTTTCATTTTTTTACCATTATGGAATCTCCACTATTCTGGACTATAGCAAATTCCAAGAATGATCAAGACCTATTAGGGTGCAGTGGATTGGTCCCACAAATACGGTGTTACTTGCTACATGTTAGGCCAGTGTGGCAATTTTATTTATTTTGGTGTTTATGTCTTTGGTTTTAAATTCAGTTATAGAAATCAGGCAATTCATTTCCTTCCTGTCTAGAAATAGCTTCTTATTTGTAGGATTATGTTTGTAAGGAGTACTTTAATTAAGTCCCACATCACTTAATGGGCACCACTTGAGTAAGACCCTGGGCTGGGTGCTGGATATGGGGGGAGGGGACCAGAGAAAAATGCACAAGACAGTCGTTGCCGTTGCCGTTCAGGGGCTTACAACCACTCTGTACTCTCTAGGCTTCTGTTTTTAGGAGATGAGGTATTAATGCTAAAGGCAGCTTGTGATAAGGAAAAAGATAAAGGATCTGATGGAGGACTTTGGGGCTGGCTTTGTGGAGGTGGTGGTGGCATTCAAGCTGTATCTAAAGGATAGGAAAGGTTTTATGGCCAGTGACTATGGAATGGAGCAAGGAAGCACACCTCAAGTGGAGGGAACAGCTTGGGGAAAGCACAGGATATGTGTGTGGACCTGTAGAAATCATCTGGTTTTACACGTAGATTGGGTTTGTGGTAAGGAGTAGTGGGAGAAGGAGCTAGAATAACAAGTTGGAGGTAGACTGTGGAAGAATTCCTTGACTATCATGCTAGAATTTTAACTTTATTTGAGGCCATAGGAGCCCAGTTAAGGTTCTCTGTGAAGAGAATACGTTCATAGCTGGTAGTTTTGGGTTAATAACAAGGTTTTGGTTAGCCTTGTGGCATCATGTTGTTTCTTGATTGGGGGCCTGGAGGTGCAGTATATCTTAGTAGTCATACTAAACACTGAATAAACGACATTTTTGAAACATTAAATAAGGGATTCTCAACCTTACTATGGGTTACAAATTATCTGGGAAATTTTTTAAAAATGCAGAGATGTGGGCCCAACCCTAGAGATTCTGATTCCCTTATTCTGGAGTAAGCCCTGTGCATCAGGATTTGTTAGAAGTGTCCTTATATATTTATATAAACACCTAGATATAAAGGTAATTATAATGTGAGGCCAAGGTTGAGAACCACTGCTTTAAGGTAAATAATACCTTACTCCTTTTAGCAGAGTTTTTCAGGTTGAAAGAGTCCCTGTACTTGGCATAGTAGGATGAATAGCTCTAATATTTTATGGCATAGAATTCAAACAACACTAGATGAATTAATTTTGTTGCTAAATTTTATACAGGAACAAAAATGTAAGTGAATATTGTGGCAAATGACTATTGATTGGGAGAAATGTTTAAATGCTTCTTGGCAGTTTTGCATTACACTTACAGTCTAGTTTTAGTGAGAGCTTTTGTAAATAACCCTAAAGCAAACTCTTGATAGAAACTGCTATGCCTTTTTGTACTCATTTTACCCTCCCCGCAATGGATGTCAGGACTATAAAATCTGTGCTTTAGAGATTATCCTTTTATCTCCTTGCTCTAACAGCAGTTTGCAATTCAAAATTTATGTTTTTTCCTCCAGTATTGATTATATATATGTGTGTGTGTATACACACACACAGACACACACACACACACACATATTCTGCCATTGTAATACAAAATGTGGTTCAGTGTTGGATGGTGTTTAATTAGACTATCATTGGTAATCCTGAATGTTAAGTTTTTATCTAGAAATGTCTAGAGTCAGAAACTCTGCCACAAATCTTAGAAATTATCTTCCAGTTATTTTATTATCATCACTGTCTGTTTTAAGTAAAAAACAATTTCCCTTGAATTGGCTTCACAGGAAATGCTAAGTAAAATTTCAATGGTTGATGGTCTTCTTTCTTAAAAAAATAAGTGTTTGAAATAAAGTAGAATTTGTTCTAGGTAAGTTTATAAATATACTATTGTACGTTTCTATGTTATGAATTTGACTCAGTGGTTGATATTTTAAGGAGAACCATAAAGCCTCAGGGCATACTGGAAAGTGCATGGTCCTTGGAATCAGGGAGGGGCCCTGACATTGCTGGGCCTCATGACTCCTCAGAACCTTGGTTTCTTCCTCTAAAAGAAGGGAGTTAGGGACTTCCCTGGTGGCTCAGTGGTTAAGATTCCACCTGCCAATGCAGGGGATATGGTTTCGAGCCCTGGTCCGGGAAGATCCCACATGCCGCAGAGGAGCTAAGCCCATGTGCCACAACTACTGAGCCCACGTGTTGCAACTGCTGAAGCCTGCTTGCCTAGAGCCCGTACTCCGCAACAAGAGAAACCACCGCAATGAGAAGCGCATGCACTGCAATGAAGAGTAGCCCCCGCTCACCACAACTAGAGAGAGCCCACACACAGCAACGAAGACCCAACGCAGCCAAAATTAATTAATTAATTAATTTTTTAAAAAGAAGGGAATTAGGTGAAATCATTTCTGAGGTTCCTTCAAGCTCCAACATTTTATAACAGTTTTGGCAAAGAAAGATTACCCACCTGGAAGAATATAAAAACCTGACATATTTTTAAAACTTCTTATTTCTCTCATAACTAAAAATCTACTTTAAATGTTATTTTTACTCATTATTCTCTCTGCTTTTGCCCAGTGTCTGAATTACAAGACAATTATTTTTTTAGTGGTTTCAAGGTCATTACGATCTTCCTCTTCTCAAAATAACCAATGTGACCAAAATAGGATGTATAAATTAAGGGTGTTATAACTTAACTGACTTTTAAAGCTGTTAATACTGACCTTTGAGACCTGGCTTTTTCTTTGATCCCATCAATCACTTGTATACCACCTCCCCCAATACAAAGTGTTAGACAGATGTGGACACAGTTTGTATTACTGGAGGTTGTGGTGGGGAGGAGAGAGGTGGAATGAATAGAGGAAACACCATATTTTTTGTTTTTATATTTCATAATGAATATGACTATATTTAATTTAAAGGTGAATAAATGTGTAAATGTTGGTTCCTTTATATATTTAGGTCATACTACTAGATATTACACTGGAACTTCAGAAGCAAATTATGTCTGAATTGGAAATTCTTTATAAGGTAATTTTTTTCTTGGTCATTTTTCCTTATAAAGTATGCCTGTGGTATTGGCTTGCAGGCTATTAACTACTTTTGTCTTATTTTTGTTACAGTGTGATTCATCATATATCATAGGGTTTTATGGTGCATTTTTTGTGGAAAACAGAATTTCAATATGTACAGAATTCATGGATGGTGAGTCTTCCCTTTTATAATACTTTAAAAGTGATTTTGGGAGTAGAGTGCTTTAAGACCTGGTTTTGATATAGGTATCAAGTAGAATTAAAAATAATGAAAATATACTAATAATTACCTCCTTTATGCTCTAAAACATCTTAGTGTTAAGGGTTCCTGTTGTTAAATATTTATAGCCGAGCCATAATTTCAAGAATGTAAGTTCATTTACTTTTACTGAAAATTTAAATAGATTAAATACTAGTCTAATCGGTGGTTTGATACTTGATTCTTCCATACAATCTGTCTTCACTTGCAAAACAGTTGCTCTGTTCTTTTAATGTTTCAATAGCCAAAATAGATTTTCTTTTAAAGAAATCTGTTAATGCAATGTCCTGTGTCTTTTAGAAAGAAATCGGATCTTAATTGCAAGATAAGAAATTGTTTTCCAACACAGCTGTTTAACCAAGATTTGTTTAGTTTTCTTTGGACTCTAGCCCTTTCCTTCCTTCCTTTATTTTTTATTCATTTCTATTTTGATAAATCTTTTTTGTTCTGAATATTTTGGCAAAATGCAAATTTCCTGGCACCCTATCAGTAAAATGATGTCATCATTGTTATTGTTTACCTATTTGAAATCAAAGCAGTCTTTAAATTTCACATATTCAATTTTTTAATGTCTAGCTCATTAAAACTCAACATTTGGGAGTTCCCTAGTGGTTCAGTGGTTAGGACTCAGTGCTTTCATTGCCGTGGCCCGGGTTCAATCCCTGGTTGGGGAACTAAGATCCTGCATGCCGAGCGGTATGGCCAAAAAAAAAAAAAAACCCTCAACATTTAAAAAATATACTTAGTTCATTTGGGGGATTCTCAGTGTATTAATAATACAATTAGTTCATTCCCCACAAGACTTTGTTTTTTTTTTTTGGCTGTGCGTGGGCTGTCTCTAGTTGCGGTGAGCAGGGGCTACTCTTCATTGCGGTGCGTGGGCTTCTCATTGCAGTGGCTTCTCTTGTTGCGGAGCACGGGCTCTAGGCTCGTGGGCTTCAGTAGTTGTGGCACACGGGCTTAGTTGCTCCGCAGAATGTGGGATCTTCCCGAACCAGGGCTCGAACCCGTGTCCTCTGCATTGGCAGGTGGATTCTTAACCACTGCACCACCAGGGAAGCCCCCCACAAGCCTTTTTAATGAGCCATCATTGACACCTTGTTACTATAATAATGTGTTCTAAATTAGTTATAGTAGATGTCAAGAATTAAAAGTCTTACAAACATATGGGAAGTATGACAATTAGTATTCGAGGAGGCTGACTAGAAAAAATGGGTTCATAGAGCCAGTACATGTCATTACTTTATGACTTTTCATCATCCTTTTTTGAATCCTCAATTTTTGTTATATTAAAAAATGTATTTATTAAGATGGTATGTTCAAATACCATAAAATTCGTCCTTCTAATGTGTACAGTTCAGTGGTTTTTATTATATTCACAAGGTTGTGTAACCATCACCACTAATTCCAAAACATTTTTATCACCCTGGAAATGAATTCCCTACCCATTAGTAGTCACTCCCTATACCCTGTTCCCTCTAGTCCCTGGCAACCATTAATCTACTTTCTGTCTCTATGGATTTCCCTATTTTGGACATTTCAGATTAAGTGGAATCATACAGTATGTGGCCTTTGTGTTTGGCTTCTTTCACTTAGCATAATGTTCTCGAGGTTCACGCAGGTTGTAAAATTTATCAGTACTTCATTACTTTTCATGACTGCATAATAGTCCATCGTATAGATCACCACATTTTCTTTACTCATTCATCACTGATGGGCATTTGCGATGTTTCCATTTTTTGGCTGTTGTGAATGATGCTGCTATGTACTTTTGTGTACAAGTTTTTTGTGGACATATGTTTTCACTTCTCTTGAGTATGTCAGTAGGAGTAGAATTGCTGGGTCATATGGTAGCTCTATGTTTAACACTGCCAAACTGTTCCATTCCATTTTACACCAGTTTGCATTCAGTTTGCTAAACTTGTTCCTTAAACTCTAATAGGTTTTTATAGATTCCTTAGGGTTTTCCATATAGAAGATCATGTCATTTGAAAATAGAGGTAGTGTTACATCTTCTTTTCCATTTTGGATGTCTTTTTTTCTGTTTCGTGCTAAACTACCCTGGCTAAAACTTTCAGGACAGTGGTTTTTTGGGTTTTTTTTAATTTTTGAAAAAACTATTTATTTTTTGGCTGCATTGGGTCTTAGTTGCAGCACCCAGGATCCTTCGTCCCAGCACGTGGGCTCTTTGTTGCAGTGCACAGGCTTCTCTCTAGTTGTGGCACGCAGGGTCATTAGTTGCGGTGCAAGCGCTCTCTAGTCGTGGCACGCAGGCTTAATTGCCCCACAGCATGTGAGATCTTAGTTCCCTGACCAGGGATTGCACCGGTGTCCCCTGCATTGCAAGATGGATTCTTAACCACTGGACCACCAGGGAAGTCCCTCAGTACAGTGTTGAATAGAAGTAGTGAGAGCAGACATCCTTCTTTTGCTCCTTAGAAGGGAAGCTTTCAGTCTTTCACCATTAAGCATGATGTTAACTGTGGGGTTTTGGTAGATGTCATTTATCAAGTTTGTTGCGTATTTTTATCATAAATTGGCATTAGATTTTGTCAAGTGCTTTCTTTGTCTATTAAAATGATCATGTGTTTTTTGGTCCTTTATTCCATAGTTACAGTGTATTACATTAATAGATTTTTGCATATTGAATCAGTCCTGTATAATCCTTTTTATATGGTGCTGGATTCAATTTGTTAGTATTTTGTTGAGGATTTTTACATCCATATTCTTAAGTGATATTGGTTTGTAGTTTTCTTTTCTTGTAATGTCATTGTGTGAGTTTGATATCAGGATAATTCTGTCCTCAAAGAATGAGTTGGACAGTGTTCCCTCCTCTTCTGTTTTTTGGAAGAGTTTGTGAAAGATTGATGTTAATTCTTCTTAAAACGTTTGGTATAATTCACCGGTGAAGCCATCTGGTCCTGGGGTTTTCTTTGTGAGTAGTTTTTGTGGTCAGGTGGCATTTGTTGTCTCTCATTAGGAGAAGTCCAAGCACTGCTGCCCACTGCATCTTGGTATTGGAGTTGCCAAGAAAAACAGAATACAATCAAGCACTGGATTGAACAATGCTTTACTCACATAAAAAAAGAAAAAGAGACAGAGCAAGATCAGCTTTAGTAGTGGGTGTCAGTTCCCAATGGCCAACAGCAGGTCCCTCCTGGCAGTCTGTGCAGGGCAGTTGGCCTGCACATACCCATCTGTGTTGCAGCATAAGTACCCCCCACTCTGCCCTACTCCCCTGGAGTCAGAAATCCTGAAAGCTGGAGGTATGCCTAAGGTCCATTGATGCACATGCTTAATCAGGACAAAGGAGTACACACTGAGCCTAAAACAGGGAAAGATATTCCAAAACAAGGAGATAAACCCAGCACAGGTTATGTGGCCTCTTTATCTCTTGGTAAGCAAGTGTTCCAGCCCCAAGGCCTATTCTTATGTGGCCAAGTAGGATTAGCAAGACTGTGTGCTTAAGACTGTCTTTCCCAAAAGTTTTTCAAAAACTGTGGTATAATACATATATAATTTACCATATTAGCCATTTTTAAGTGTGTAGTTCAGCAGCATTAGTTCATTCACATTACCATGCAACCACCACCGTCCATCTCCAGAACTCTTTTCAGCTTGCAAAACTGAAACCCCGTACCCATTAAGCCATAACTCTCCTTTGCCTCCTACTCTCAGCCCCTGGTAGCGAATATTCTACTTTCTGTCTGTATGAGTTGGGCTACTCTGGATACCTCAGCTAAGTGAACTTGCACAGTGTCTTTTTTGGGACTGGCTTGTTTCACTTTTCATAATGTCCTCAAGATTTACCAATGTTGTAGCATATGTCAGAATTTACTATCTGTTTAAGACTGAATAATATTGTGAGTAGTTTTTTAAATTACCAACCAATATCTTTATTAGTTATAGTTATAAGTTTATTCAGAATTTCTATTTCTTCTTGAGTCAGTTTTGGTACTTTGTGGCTTTCTAGAAGTTTGTTCATTTCATCTAGATTATCTAATTTGTTGGTAAACAATTATTCCTAGTATTCCTTTGTAATCATTTTTATTTCAGTAAAGTCAATGTTAATGTTCTCTCTTTCATTCCAGATTTTATTAATTTGAGTCTTATCCCTTTTTCTCTTGGTCAGGGTAGCTAAAAGTTGATCAGTTTCTTTGTCTTTTTCAAAAACCAACTCTTGATTTCTTTGATGTTTCTCTGTTGTTTTTCTGTTGTGTTAGATCTCTGGTCTAATATTAATATCTACTAGCTCTGTTTTTAGTTTGCTCCTCTTTTTCTGTATTTTTAAGCTGTGAAGTTAGGATATTGAGATCTTTCTTATTTAATGTAGGCGTTTGCAGCTGTACATGTCCCTCTAAGCACCTCTTTAGCTGCACCCTAGAAGTTTTAATATGTTGTTTTTTTCATTTTCATTTATCTCAAACTGTTTTCTAATTCCCCACAAAGATAATCCCTGTGATTTCTCTTTTGACCCATTTTTATTTAGGAATGTGTCATTTTCCACATTGAATTTGTCCTTCTGTTGCTGATTTCTAATATTCCTTAGAGGTCAGAGAACATGCTTTGTATGATTTCAGTCCTTTTAAATTTATTGAGATTTGTTTTATGCCCTAAAATGTTGTCTGTCCTGGAGAATGTTCCATGTGCACCTGAGAAAAATGTATTCTGCTATTGTTGGGTGGAGTGTTCTTGAGATGTCTGTCAGGAGTAGGTGGTTTATGGTGTTAAGTATTTTATTTCCTTGTTAATCTTTAGTGCAAATTGTTCTATCTACTGTTGAAAGTAGGTATTGAAATGGGGTATTTTTTGGTTGTCTGTTTCTCCCTTCAGTTTTGTCAGTTTATGCATCACATATTTTGGCATTCTATTGTTAGGTGCATGTATGTTTGTAATTGTTATATCTTCTTGAT